TGGGTACTGGTTGTCACTACCAGGGGCAGGGGCTGGAGCACCCATAGTACAGGGAGGCAGAGGCAGTGAGGAAACAGTTGCTGTGTGCTGTCCCTGCACTGTGCATGCTGCTCCTGGCCAGGGAAGTGGCTGGCCAGGAGCAGAGAGCGGGGCTGGCTTTTCAAGATGGCTGCTGGCTGCTGGAAGCAGCCTCAAACTCCCCCGCAGTGGCAGCAGGGACCCATTGCACGGCCACAGAAAATGGCAACAGTTCAGTGCTAAGAGCAGCAAATCTGCTGCCACGGCTCTGCACATGTAGACTCCTGCCTGGGAGCATTTACTTGCAAGTAAACTGATCTCAGATCAAATGCACGTGTAGACGCACCCAATGCTTATTGAGCTATACTCAGATAACCCTGAGCATAAGTATAATTCTTTAAATTTACACATAGTAAAGAACTATTAACTTTACTAATGGCTAGAGCACTCAGGGATACCTGCAGTGGGATTCAAGATACCTGGATTCTACTTTTGCTCTTATACCTGGCCTGAAGGATGTTGTTGGGTAAATTGCTTCAGTACTCTTTACTTCAGTTTCTTCATTTCTAAAGTGAAGATAATAATGCCAACCATTTTCTAACACAATGCTTGATATCTACTTATACAAAAAAGTAGTGTAAGTAGGTGTGAGCAACAGGGGCACCCACCCCAGGCACCAAGTTAGGAGGGACACCAGAATGCCCTCCCCACCTTCCCCAGAGTCCTCACCCTGGCAGTGTACCCATGCAGGAAACTCCAAAACAACCCCCAGCACTGCTGCTGCTTTGATTAACAGCCAGAGTAGATAAAGCAGAAGGCTACAGCAGCAATAGCTCAGCTGGGGCCTATTTAGAAGTTCCCAGCCTGGGTAAGACGGCTGCACCTGCTATTCTCAGCACCAGCACATCCCTCCTCTCCTCCCGCCCACCCACCCAGTCACACACACACACCACCCTACTCTCCTGCAGGTTTTGCCCTGGGTGCCAACTCTGCTTGTTACACCACTGTAAAAACCCTACATCAGAACTTGGTATTATAATTATGCATGTAAGTAGCTTTATTTCATCATTCCACTCTTTGTAAATAGTTACTCATCTGTTTAAGAGTTTGAAAGATCAAGGACTTATTCAGTTTGCAGGCAAAGATCAAGAATTAATTCATGCTAGTATGAAAAAGATGCATTTTCATGTCCTCATGTTTAGGTGACCGAAAGTAAGAAGGTAATGAAAACTTCAAAGAGCTGCAATAATTTCTATAAGGCCCAAGAATGCAGCAAATAGCAGAACTCAGGTGTTTCTGAATGCCTTGATCAGTCAAATAATGTACTCTAATTACCTTGTGGGAAAAGTCATCCCTGTACAGTTTCACCAAAAGGCCCATATCTACTTAATCTCCATACTAAATCCAAAATAGGGCATAAGTGGTGGATAAGCCTTGGCCTCACTGTTAGTCAAGTATTTTGCAATGAAATAGGTTTTCAGTGGAAAATGCTGATTTGTGGGGAAAAAAAAAAAGTTTCTTTCATGGAAACACACCGGTTTTGATGACCTTTTGATGAATGACATGCAGGTTTCCATTGCCTGGTTACTGGCCAAATCAAAACTTGTTCCATTTAGCCTTTTCCTTTCTTTTTTTTTGTGGGGTGGGGAGGGCTCATAGGTATGATTTAACATGAAATCATTGTACAGTGTAGTTTTTTCCAAATGAAACATTTCTGGAATGTCCTTTCCAGAAGAAATTTGTACAATTTTAGCCTGTGCTCCAAACTAAAATGATAAAAAAGCCCACTTTTGAAATGTTGAACTTCTAAGTTCTGGTTAACTTGACTCATATTACCCCTATACAAAGGAGCAATAATTTCATTTTAAACATAGAACATTCTATTTATAAGGTTGCCCGGTATACGGAAAGCATGCGTTCTAAATTCAATGGATTCAAGCAGACCAAATTTCAATATATTGCTCAGCATTCATGAATGTCATGCTCGGTATTTTAGAATACATGCTGCTTGCAAATGTCCCACATAAAACAGGAAGTCCCACTTTGGTTCTAGTACTAGAAAAGAAGAAAAACCACCGAGTTTCCTGTTATAAGAACTTACCCTTTCTTAAAATTAAGCAAGCGCACACTGCCATTGCAAATTGTCACTCTTGCTCCAAAAATTTCAGTACAATACAGGAAGGTTCCTAATAAGGAAGTGCTTTACAGTGTATTACCCACCATTTCAAAACTTTTTTTAAAAACCAATAAGCTTGTAAACTAAGCAAATTACACACGCAACCACCTATGTGTCAACGTGAAAAACTGCACTTAGCTTATGCTTTTTTAACTAACTCATCTACATTGTACTCAGTGATTGTGCCAGTGAAGATTCATTCCAATAGTCTACGTAGCTTTAAATCAGCAGCCATTAAAAATGCACACATCACAACCAGGTATCGCGTAGGTGTTTTTTTCCCCTCAAAATAGGTGTTTTCTTTCCCCTCAACATCCTGCAGAATTGAATGACCTCCACAGGATGATGTCATTCAACTCCAAACCAAACATAGCTTGGAAGTCCAATATCTAAGAAACATTATGGAGAATTATAGAAAAAATATACACAGAATAGGGAATCCCTCCCTTAGTAAATTACAGCATTCACTTCTAGTGCTGATAGCTCACAAGATCTAAAACACTGAAACTGAGACATCCTTGATTTCCAGAAGAATTGAGACATTGTAGAAATAATATAATTTATCTGCTCCAGTTTTCCACTTGTACCAACCCTGTAGAGCTGGACAAAAAGTACTAAGGCAGGTGTTTTTACCAATAACAATAATAATAAAAAGTATATTTAAACAGACATTTCTAACAGTTTTCCTGAAAAATATATCAAACAGCATCCATGGGACAGATAGCATGACATTTCTCTCTTCTTCCTCTCTACTCGGTGCTAGTGAGACCCCAGCTGGAGTACTGTGTCCAGATCTGGGTGCTGCACTTCAAAAAAGACATGGACAATCTTGAAGGGGTCCAGAGAAGGGCCACAAGAATGATTAAGGGCCTGGAGGACAAGCCTTATGTGGAAAGACTAAGGGATCGGGGACTGTTCAGCCCAGGGAAGAGAAGACCGAGTGGGGACTTGGTGACCATCTGTAAGTATGTAAGGGATGAAATATTGGGAGTTGGGAAAAAAACTGTTCATTGGGGTGCCCCAGGGGAGAACAAGGAGCAATGACCATAAACTGCTAGAGGATGGTTTCAGGTTGGATATAAGGAAGAACTATTTGTTGTAAGGGTGACCCAAGGAGGTGGTACCATCTTGAACCTTGGAAATCTTCAAGAGGAGACTGGACAGTAGGACTGTGTGAAGTTTCAGTCCCTGATTCATTTCAGCAGAGATTCAGCCCAATTTGGTGGCAGAATCTCTGAATCTGAATCGAATCAGAGGACCCTTTAATCTCTTCAAATCGAATCGAAACCCTCTGAATTGATTCAGGGAGATTCAGTGATTTAAATGTTTTTTCTACATACCTCTGGGTAGCAGTCGGCTCATGAATGCTGTGGTGCTGGGGTGCATGGAGAGACCCACAGAAGTGCAGGGTGCTCCCCAACACACTTGGCAGCAGACCGAGGAGTGGAGCAGAAACACTCCTGGTCCACTTCCGGGTCCACTGGAGAGCACGCTGGGGGCCCCTGCTGCACCTCCTGGCTCAGCAACTGATGCCTCCTCAGTCTGGGGGGGCACCTGGGTCACCCCGTGGCCGATCACCAAGCCGGTCTACTTCCAGGTTCATCATTAAGCATGTTCCCCTGCATTCCTGTGGGACACTCCATCCACCCCAGCAGCGCAGCATTCATGAGCTGCGCCTGGTACCTTGAGGTATGTAGAGAAAACATTTAAAGCTGCATCTATGTCAGAATCACCGATTCTCTGAATCAGCATGGAATCTTCAGATTCGGATTCGGCTGAATGAAATCAAGGACAGTGATCTGAATCGATGAATCAAAGCGCTGTCCCCAATTCGGGCCAATTCCAAATCAAATAGGGCCCGTTTCGCACAACCCTACTAGACAGACACCTTGCTGGAATCATTTGATCTCAGCAGTATTCCTGCCCACAGCAGGGGAAGTTGGAGTCAATGGTCTTTCGAGGTCCCTTCCAGCCCTTAATTTTTATGATTCTATGAACATTTTGGTAGGTATTAATTTGCAGTGTTATGCATAATTCACTGGTAGATTTAGCACATATGACTAACACTGACATGCCATACTCATACCTCTGAACCTTTTACGCAAACACCACTTACAGCAAAGGATACGGTGCTTTTTGGTGTCTCATACCACCATGAGGCAGAAGGCAGGGTAGAGATGTACATTATAGACTAACTGAATCAGAGATGCATAAGCTTTTGTTTCTTGTTCATGAAAGTTTATGCATCTCTGACTCAGTCTGATTAGTCAGTATGGTGCATCTCTGTCTCTTCTATCAGATTTGGAATTAACACAGCTAACTAACTTTCTATACTACTGTGATTAACAATTACATGGCCATTCATATAAGACTTGTCCTCTCTGTGTTTTGGGTGAATTTACACTTTTAGGTTGCTTTCATTTTGGTTTACTTTAACTGTGATATTTTTGGACTGGGTGAAAGACCTACAGTCGCAGCTAACAATGTTTCCCTTCAACTAAAAAAAAGTCATATTTTGATGTTATATTCACTTCACATTCTCCATGTTTTTTATTTCCTTTGGGTCCAGATGACCTAGAAAGTATCTGAAGGGGTAGAAGATAAGCTACAAAAGCTGCACTCAAATGTACAGCAAATTTATTTTTTCAAAACAGAGGGGTTTTGCCCGAGATCGAACAGCTGCCTGAAAGTTACCTTGTGTCCAGAATTCCTTGTTCTAACAAGATGATGTGAGAGACGCACTCAAATAGCTGTCAAAATATCAAGTGTTAAAAAAAACCCTCTTACCCAGTGCACAGGGCAGCAGCGCAATATAGTTTATTCACAAACAATTGCATTGGCTTTGTCAATCCATGAGCATTTATGCAGTGCTTTATAAACCAAAACCAATGTATAAAATACACAACACAGGCTATTGTGTATGCACACATACACACTATTAGTAAAAGCATGTGCTCACTGGGCTAAACTATGAGTTTATTTGTATAACGTAAATCTAGGACTTCTACTTGGCACTGGGTAAACTTTCTTTGCTATGTGTGAGGTTTTCCTGAAACACTGAATTTTTTTTAGCCAGACCCCTGGAGGCTCAGACCCAGATCCTACTCCCCATGTTGGATGTCTGAGCATGATTCTATTCCATCCTACTCAAGTCATGTTAAACATTAATGCAAGACTTGGTTGAGGCTCCCTCCCCCCCCCACACTGTTTTTTCTGATGTAGTACTAATGCTAAGCTGAAGGTGCAGTGCAAAAGCAGGCACACTCATAGTTTTTCCAGGACTCAAGAAGGGAATGGGATCACACAGACACCAAATAAGTAAAACAAACTCTGGTCCTCATTCTTTTTCTTTCTCTCTCTTTGCTTCCCCTATTAATCAGTGCCATGCAGTTCCAACCCCAAGCTAATCTCAGTTTGCCATCTCCATAGCCCAATACTAACTTTAACTTTGCAGTCAATCCTACTCCCTGCTTTCAAAGCTGAGGCACTGATAGCATCCCAAGTCCAGCCTTGCTCCCTGGCTTCTGATCCCAACCTGACCATAACCTTCCTCATTCTGTGTCTCATTTCCACTCTCTGCACTAATGTGTGCGTTATAGAAGCCTTGCTTTAATGGAACTTACATAGTGAAAAACAGAGCTACCCCCCTACTAAACTTTGGCAGACGACCACACTACCCAAAGTACTGATGCACTGAGCTCAGAGCTTACCCCCTGCCTAATTTCTCTCTGTCTCTCTCTGTTTCATCTTCCCTCCTCCCCCTGGCCCCTCAGTTAAGGTGACAACATATGTCGATGTGACTGTTTTTGAGAAAAGTGATGATGATGTCCACTCCCTGACTGAGTGTCATTGGGCCTACAACTGTGCCTCTTCAGTCTGTATCAACTGGGCCAAAAGTGACACATTTCTGCCAAGCACCTGAGCCAACACTCAGCTCCCAGACCTGCCTGGAGGCCCTATCTGATGCCACAATGGCTTTCAAAGCTCTGGATGTTTTCCAAGGCCCTCCCAACTATCTAGCCAAGCACTGGGAAAGCCTTCATGAGAAGGCTGAGGCACAACTACCAGTGGTGGCCCTGGCATCTGCCCAATCTCTCCTAGCATGGCCAAACTTGATCATCAACAACCTGGAAGCTGCTGCACTGCAGCACATGTTCACCATCCTGGATCCGCCAGTGACCCTTCTTGAAAGCATTCACAAGGTCTTCCTGGACTACTTCTGTAATGGGCACCACTGGCTCCAGTGAACTGTCCTACCTACCCACCAGCAAGAGAAGCCAGGGTCTCATCAACCAGGTGATCAGGGTAGCTGCCTTCTGCCAACAAGCCCTTTAGCACATGCTCTTTGCTTGGAAATGCCTCCCCTGGCAACAGCTGGCCTTTGCTTTCCTGCATTGGGTGAAGGACCTCAACCTTGATCAGGAACTGTTCCTTTTGGATCCTGATCACCTTGGCTAGAGCACCCTGCCATGCTCATGCTTATACCATAGCCTTGCCTGGGCCAGATGGGCCTCTCTCTGAAACTGCAGGGTAGGTTCCTGCAGTTTCCAAAGTCGCTATAAGAGCCCCTGGTCCATAACTTGGCCTTGTAATGGGGGGCACCAAGCCTCAACTCCTGAAGCCCCATTGCTTCCTTCATCCAGTTGCACACCATCAAGCGTACCTGCCTCTTGCAGTCAGCTCAGCCTTTCTGGCTCTCAGCCAAAACTCTAGCTGACTGGCTGGGCTTTCATTCTGTCCATTTTGCTTTGCACATCTAAGCTGGAATGAAAGATGCCCTCCCCACAAATACACTTATTGCCCTAGAAGACCACCTCTGCACACAACAAGCCCTCCCCAATGACAGACCTGTTTCTCCCGCTGTGGACTGCAGTGAGAATGATGGGCCCAGCAGCCGGCTGTCCCTCCCTGTACCTAACAAGAATAGTAGTGGAATTTAACTTAAGATCCTGTCTGAGAAAGTACTGTACATGTAGACAAACTGCATCATGCCTGTGTCCTTGCCACCTACCCTGACATGACTTGGAGGCAGCACCTAACAGAAGTAACACAAAAGTAAACCCACCCAGCCTGTTGCGCCCTGTACAAGCTACTCGTCACCAAGGTAACTGGACACCTCCAGTGGTAGCTGCTGCATGGAGCCCTGGCCACGGGTACTTTTGTCTTCCACTTAGACCCAGTGTCATCAATGGCCTGCCCATTCTGTGAAAAGGAGGTGGAGGAGACTTTCTTCTATGCCTTCCTGGACTGCCCCCAGCTACAGTCATTCTTCACTTCCCTCAGCACCCTCTTTGGCACTCTGGACTTGGACTTTTACAAGACTGTGTACATCTCCTCTATCCAGTACCAAGAGCCAAGGGGTGTGTGATCTGCCTGGCCAATTTCATGCTGGGCCAGGCCAAGACAGCAACTCTGAAAAGCCACAGAAACCGGCTTGGAGGAGCTGGCTCCAATGATGCACTCCAACTCTTCTGCTTCCGGGTCCAAGCATGTATCACATTTGAATTTGGAAACTTCACCTTGCAAGAAAATGTAGACCAATTTGTGTTGTGCTGGGTTATTACCTCTGCAAAGTGAAAGACAGACAGCTGGTCCTACATATGTAACCCCATGAGGGGCATGGAGGAGGGGTATCAATTTCTGGTCACATGGGTTTTTTTGTTGCTAATGACCTTTTTCATGATTAGCCCCTGAGAGGGCCACATACCTTTGCACTTTCACCATTAGTTTTAATACCTGCATAATAAAGATTTTTAAAAAATCAAAAGTCTCTCTCTCTCTCACACATACACACACACTCCCCATTCATCCCCTACAGTTTGGTTTGAACACCCTACTCCTGAAGCTCCCCCATAAAGTTCTGATTCTGCTTTGATTTACGAGTACTAATTGGTAAGTAATGAAACACTTAATCTTTGATTCAGACTAGTGATGAATTAGATCCCGTGTGTTTCCAGGAATTTAGCATATACAATTATTTTCATAATCAAAATTCTGCTAAAACATATGGTGGTTAAAAATAAGTTAAAATCTATCTGTTTCTATTTTTGGTGCTTACACTGTATTCCATTTCAACCAGTAATATGTATGCAAGTATTCATAAGAATAGCTTTACACACTGGCTAACTAGAATGCACATATGTACTGTACTGTACACCAGTTCTTGGGTTGGAAATTCATTTAACAAAGATCATGATTTGTTATTCTTAAAATTCAGTAGCTCTGTAAAGTAACGTATACAAACATGCAGATCAAAATATATTGCACATTGCCAAGTTGTTATTCAAAAGTATACCCTGTGCTGGGCACAGTAAGGTAAAAAATTATGACATTGGAGCAAAAATTTTAAAGTGCTTTTTGTTTATATAATATCATGTAAGTATGCAACCTGGAGTTATGATATTTTCTAGAAAAAATATTTTCCTAATATAGATTCTACAGCAACATTTTTAGATAAATCTCATACCCAGTTCAAAAGACAGAAGCAAGGTCAAATTAATGCTAACAACGGAGCTTCCGATATAACTCTCTCTTTGGAGTTATTATGTGCTCCATATATAGAAGAAGAATATTTGGCCTTGAAATCTGTGCAAATATTTCACTTGAAATCAACAGATAAGTAATCTTATCTATAAAATGTGGTCCTATCTAGACAGAGAAATCCAGAACATATAAATACATAAATACAATCATATATACAATATATGTCCATGTTCATATAAGCCATAAGGTGATACACATTTACAAAAATATAGCCCATTATGGTTTATATTTTTCATGCTGCATCAAATAATGATGTTTAATCATCTGCTTTGGGATCTGGATTCTTTGTTGGGTTTTTTTGACTACACATTTGAAATAAACTTGTACCTTACATATTCACTACTGCCTAAAACATAAAACAGCATATAACCCTCACCAAGTCTATACACCATTAAAAAGTTAAAACTTAAGACAACACAGGGTTTCTACACTGCTGAGCAGTTTATTTGCCACTGAAACACATTAAAAGAACCTTTCCAGATAGCACAGGAAACAATTCTTGGCCTTGTCTGCCCACACAAAATATTTATGGTGTCAAGCAGAACGTGAACTCGTGCCTGAAGATGGTCTGAAATAGAGATCTGTCTGTAATCATTGCCCTAGAAATCTCTGTTTAAAATTGAAATGCATTCAAAATGAGTGTAGGTAGAAGTGAAAGTACAACGTATTTGTACTTATCATCTTGAAGAGCCAAGATGTAGTAACAGAGGAGTATATACAGTACTGTTCAGATTATTATAACTTAATAAAATTATTTCATCAATAGATTAGGTGGGTACAATCACCCCAAGTATTTAATATCTACAATATGTACATTTTTCTGTGACTTTCAGGTATTCCAGGCTCAGTTTGAGTCTTCTGAAAAGTTAGCCATTCTGAAATGTAACTCCATTTCTTCTCTGCTTCATGCAGCATGCTTCTCAGGTGTGCACCCCAGTAGAGTTTGGTTTGGGTTTGTTTTGTTTTGTTTTGTTTTGTTTAATACCTGGGAATGCTTTGAAGAATGAGTTGTTTTCTTTTCCAAAGAATGACATAAGCACTTGAAAAAACAAAACCTGAAAGTATAGCAAATTTAAAGTCTCACTAAATGAAGAGAGATGGGGAGAAATTTTGTCATGTGCTGCACATGCAATTGCTCAGAGAGAGTTCCCAATGAAAGGTGGTGGGTTCATCTCTTCCTCTTTCCTATTCTCCTCTGGCAAATACAGGACTTCCTGCTGCTGATAGATATCTTGGACCAACATATTGTTTGTGCTCCTCCACTTTCTGTATTTCTCTGCTGTCAACTCAGGATCTTCCAGCAGCTGGTTAATCATGGCCAAGTCGTGTTCTTTACACTAGTAGAAAAACAAGAGGTTAAGAAACACAATTCCTATACAGTGTCAGATTAGTTTTACTTTATAAAATTACCGTGTGAACATAACAAGTCTCTCCCCTCAGAGAGCTGACAAATTGCACATTGTGGCATTTCGGTTTTAAAACACAGCAGGAGACTCTTCTGGGTGAAGTCATATTTGTCTTTATAGATACCAGAAATGCTCCAGATACTACAGGACATTTGCACAGAACCCAAGAGAAAAGTGCTTTGATGAACTGGAAACTTTGCACATAATATCAATAGCATTTGTCAGTTTTGCAAAAGGATAATAACAAAAGCAATTACTGTAATTCAAAACATAGTTCTGACATCTAAAGAATTTCCTTGCCACATTATAAATTCTTCTTCGTAAGTCCTAGATATATTAAATGAAGATGTAATTTACAGGTGCATAATGTGTCTTTCTAACCACTAGCAAGGATTATACAACATAGAGGTTTACACATCTACTACTGGCTTCAACTAATGAAGCTAATCCTTTTGCTCAGCAAGGAGAGACCCCTACTTTTAGACCCAGAGGTCTCAGTTCTATCCTTACAGAAGGCATGAGCAATGAAATACTGCTCCATGAAGAATGAACACCTCAGGATCACCACACACTTTATTGGGTAACTCCATGTTCTGATTTTAGATCTTCAGTGTAGTGATAAGGGATATAGTTTGGAAAGCTGGAGGCATCTACATGTGCACTTTACTGCAGAGTTGACTACTTAGCTCTGCAGTAAAGCGTCATGATCTACAAGTGCAGCGCTATTAGCCCAGAGTAAACTAATTAGCTCTACCATAGGATATTACTGCCCAACACAAGTACTATCCTATGGCAGAGTTATTTATTCCGCCACAACAAACATGTAGACTGTGACCAGGAGTAGCTGGGGCATGAGGGTGTTTCAGTGCAGGGGCTGCCTGCTGACTAACCCTGCACTGTAGCACACTTGTGCACCAGCCAGCCTGTCTGCAGCACACTGAGCTAGGGTGAAGCTGCTCCAGCCTGGCAGGCTGACCCTCAGGGCCCTCTGCCAGGCAGGGCTGTACCACCCTGGCTCAACATGCTGGAGTCCCAGGTGCACACGTAAAAGCTGCACCTGGGAGCAATAAACTCTGGTGCAAACTCTGCTGGAGTTTATTGCATCACATTAATAACACATGTAGATACTCCTGCTGGGAATTGGGAGATAGTCCCTCACTATCTGAGGCCAAGGATCTGCAGACATTGTTTACTACTCCAGAATAAAACCTGTTGTGTAGCTCTTCTTAGTCATGTATATCTGTGTTTACTGAATCTGGTGATCACTATATGCAGGATCTCATTTTTCAGTACAGTGACCCATTCATAGAGTGGCTCCTCTGATTGATGATAATTGATTTTAAAAGTGGATATAGACTATAACAAAATGTTGTCAATTCTAGAGATGAGGATACATTCAGAGGGATCTTAACTGAAATGGTTGCCTAAATAGGTATTGTCTACGTGACAGTTCCACCAGAAATCTTTGCTAAGACAAATTAGACAACTGCTAAACATATACAAAGCGGGCTTCTGCTGAAGATGTAGTCTCAGTGTGAGGCTCAAAAGAACTAAACAAAGAGCTTGATAGGTAAAAATAATAATAATAAAAATTAATATAGCTTAGGTGTCCCACTGCTTTTCACCCTCCACTGAAGAGGCTGATGCCCTCAAGATCTGCTTATTTGTTCCAGTATGACACTTCCTTTAGCTTTGATATGCTGAATTATTTTACCCTATAGTTCAAGACATTAACTTACAAAGCATACAGTAATGTTAAAGTTATTAATTTCAAACCTCAGTAGTCAGAAAATGCAAAAGGTAAGGCTGAACGAATTATCCTTCTCTGGCGATTGGTATATGGGCCTTGTAGCAGTCTCACTACATCACCATACACTATTTCTCAAAAATAAAGTAGCAGTCACATTTTTTACTATGGCCTTGCAATATAGCTGTTTAAGACAACGTAAGATTTCCATCTGGGCTAGTCACTATCTACAGACCAAGCTTTATCTGTGCACAAGAAAGCTATGAGAGTTCAGGGGAAATACCTCAATCCTCCATCAACAAGTCAACACAATCCTCCATCAACAAGTCAACACAAAAGTAATTAGACGGGTCTTGCCCACTTTTCCCGTCCCCATAGCATTCACAAAGCCATACAGCAATCTATATAATAGCAAAAGACATTCATTTATTTTCTAGCCCTTTGCTCCCATGGCCCGGGGAAGTATATCTGTAGTGGTGTCTGCTCCGCCAAAGCTTATCTTCCCATCTTTCATGCAGTCAAAACAACCAAGGGAGCACTTTTTCTGTGACATCTTCCCGAAGCCATCAGTGGGCCCCTCCAACATCTCAGATGCAACCCAGCTGGTCAGGCTCAGGAAAAGATATTACCAAAAGGAGTGAAAAAGAATGAGGTAGAAGAGAGGAAAAGGAAGGGGAAGAGGGAAAGCTGAATAAGGGGGCCCAACACTTTCTAGACCCCAACCAATGTGCACAAAAATAGACCTGACTATTATCCCTAATACTTGCCCTAATTAGCCTTATATCTGTGATCTATGAATCCCTTCTGGAACTGGAAACTTGTTAAAAGACATATTTCTTTGATTCATCTCCATAATCAGCTGGCAATCTTTGTAAGAGCAGTGAAATGCACAGTGAAGGGAAATAAAAATAGATGTCACTAGCCATGGGGACAGAATTTTTTTCTCTGCTTTGAAAAATGTTGTTCACAAAAAGCCATATTTTAAGCAATATTCTTCCCATAACCCTGGAGAAAAGGCCATTTTCATCCATTTGTCTAGCCTGGGAAATCTTCTACCCACAGTTTCCCTCTTTCCC